CGGAGTCGACAAATTTTCGGCGACTCCGACTCCGACTCCGGCTGGGGTTTCCAATATCGACTCCGACTCCGACTCCGACTCCGGTCACAACTGTCGACTCCGACCGACTCCGACTCCGACTCCGCAGCCCTGAATGAAACCCATCCAATGTTTCGTTCGATATAGAATCGTTATGGAATCCAGTGCAATGGAATCGTTGTATGCCTGGTGGTGGGGGTGGGCAGATACCTAAAAGCACCGATCACCGAAACAAAAGTTCTATTTCATAAGAACTAAGCATAATTTTAAACTATACGATGCATATTTAGCAGTGCCTTGGCTTTCTATGGCATACCTTTTCTCAAAAGACAAGTTCCCACCCTTTTCACAAGGTTAGTCGATCCATGTGACGTGTGGCGCTGTAGATTGTAAACTTTGCTTTTCATACACTGTCTGCTCGGGCTCCGAAGTTAGACAGGTTCTGACTAGACAGAAGAAAGGAAGCAGCTCTGAAAGGGATTCTGAATGGCCCTTGCTGTCGTGCGCTCCAAGTGTCTGTAATACTGTTACGTATTTTCTGCCCGGCGTGTTGGCTGGACCACTGTGAATTTGGACATAGCACACTCACAGCCTCAATCCGACCTAAGCTGTGGCGGCCCGTACAAGGTCGTCCCCAATTCATGCCAGAGGCCAAGGCTTTCTCTTTCTAGGTAGGTATATTCTCGTAAACTGAGATGTCAGTATAACTTTATAGTTTATAGTATGTAATATGTTACATCAATCGATTTTTGTTCGTACTTCTTCCTTGAAAGGATTAACTATTGAGAAGCTGAACTTCTGTGCTTACAGTAAATAACAAAATTGCAAAGAGTTTCAGACTTATTCTTCTCGCCCACAACGAACAGCGTACCGGGTCATTAGCTGCATCGACCAATGGTATTGCCTCAGGGGCTTTAGTCGTAAAATGTCAAAGTTCAGTGAGCACACTAACCACAAAGCATTTACAGTAATCAATTTCCCAGAAACATGATAGGATTGTAACAGATTGTTACGAGATCCTGGTGGACATTGCAATTTGGGGCAATAAGGCGGTGTTCTATTTCTTCACCGACTTTTCTTGAGTCTAATGTAAGCATCAGGATAGGACAGGATATTCTGCAAGATGGGCAAGGTCACTAAGCAGTGGGGCAGGGGAATCGATCAGTAACCTAAGGTCACCGAGGCTGGGGCGAGCTCTGCCTGCCACATCGCCCCTGCCGACCCGACCTCGGCGCGCCGCTGGGAGCTCATAACGCGTATCGTCTGATCGATAGCCGGCTTTGCACAGCGGCGCACCGGGGTCGCCTGCCTACCGGCTGCCTACCCCGCCTGACTACCGACTGACTACTGCCTGCCTACAAGAGAAGCACTTGAGCGCCTGAGTAGGACCTGACTACCGCCCGCCTACTTAAGTGCCTATCATACAGATACCGCCCGACAGCACACGAGTGGCGCCTGCCTACCGCCCGACTACCGAATGCCTATTGCCTACCGTCTGCTCACCACACGGATACCGCACGGCCCACGGGTACCGCGTGACTACCTGCGACGGCTTCTACATTGGTAGGTATAGCGATCATCGGGTACCGGCTAGGGTACAGCACGAGTAGTGCCCGTCTATTGAACTGATACGACAGGTGCCGTGCTGTACAACACTGCTCCGGTGTTGACATTTGAACTATACCACTGTGTTCTAATATGAAACAATTTACTCCATCCGTAGAGAACAGAGCAAGTAATGTGTTTAATTAGTTGATGGTAACACTTCCTTCGCCGATCACCTATACGCGTGAAAAGATTCCCATCAGTCGTATAGCAACCACATGACCTAAGAAGATTAACACTAAGAAGAAGAGAAGCAATGTGAAAAAATAAGCCACAAGTCAAACGCTGTCATGATAAAGTGAGAGCAGGATTATGTCAAAATGAATGCAATTGACGGTGGTATTTTGAGTCAGGCCTCCTAAATGTGCCAAGTTCACCGTCTGCAAAATTTATGAATCCATTGATGACCTACAAGATATCGATCACCAAACACCAGCACTGATTCGATCTTTTCCGATCAACCGCCAGTATAGCGTAATACCATTAGCAGCATGCAAGGAACGTTCTTGAAACAATGTGACACTTTCATATCCCGAACTTGCCTACATACTTGCTGAACCTTTATTGCTGTTTGTGAGGCAGGGAGGTTGGTGACTGTTTTCTCCCGACTGCTCGGAAAGCGCTAGCGATTGAGAGAGCTGAAAGTTAGCATACCTGACCTTTGATCCAAGCCCGACTGTGCTACACCGCGTATTTTTCAGTGCAGTGCAGGTCACTGACATATGGCGTCATAAGTGAACTTCTGGTACGGTCCTAAGATGTCGCAACTTCGCAACGCCATCAGTGCCAGAGAATCTCAGGGTCTGAACTTTGAATCGTTCGCAGGGGCTTTTGCACGGTTCCATTGGTCGTTGGTCAGGTCGGTCACTTGGCCTCACCGTTATAGCTAAGCCACCAAACAGCCATAAGTCAATACTGAAACTGTTGTGCTGGCCGCTGGGGCAGGAAGTACTGGTATTGTTTCGCCAACACATAAAACGTCATGTCTCACTAAATGTAATGTCTGGGCATCATGACTTTCAACGTTATGATACAGTACTATGAAAAGCAGTCACTCAATAAATGGCACAGCCAAGGAGTACCAGGGCAATTGGGCCTCTCAGAAGTCGTGATGGGGCTCCCAGTGAAAGGTGAAGAATCCTTTTAGAGGCATGTGTGTGCGCTGGGCCCCCAGAACCCGTGGAGCCTTCAGATGTATTGTATCTCTGAGATCGAGCTGGGTCCTCAGAGACCCGATTGGGGCCGGTTTTGGAATGGGCTATCATAGGGTCTCGGCGTGCATACCAAGCAAATAGTGTAACTAGAGCTGCATACCTAAATGCGTCTTTTAGTGGTATCAAAAACCTAATTAGTACCTAATCATATTATTCATTTTAATTTTAATTCCTAGAAAGGTGGATTGCCTAGGAGCATATTCAGGAATCGTAATCAAGCATCCATCGCATTCGCTAGTGGCTAGACACATAAGAGAGAGAGAGAGAGAGAGAGAGAGAGAGAGAGAGAGAGAGAGAGAGAGAGAGAGAGAGAGAGAGAGAGAGAGAGAGAGAGAGAGAGAGAGAGAGTGAGAGAGAGAGAGAGAGAGAGAGAGAGAGAGAGAGAGAGAGAGAGAGAGAGAGAGAGAGAGAGAGAGAGAGAGAGAGAGAGACGGTCCTACATCCTTTAGAGATGTGGGACCGTCATACGTCCTTTAGAGATGGGGGACCGTCAACAACTATTTATTAACAACTATTTATTATTGAATACAGAGGGCGAGTTCCGCTTATGCGGGTGAATGGCGGGTACTTACCCGTTCTCCCCTACCTGCTTAATTCGAAACAACTTGTTGCAAGCTGCAGTTGCAAGCTGCACAACGTAAAATTGATGTTTTCCGCCATCCGGGTGTCAAGACATTAATTGATCCTGAAAAACGTCTAATAATAACCTTTTCCTCGGCAGAAGAAAACGAACATAATCGCCGGAACCACAAATCTTCACTAAACGCCGTCATATACGTCAGTTGGGCAGCCGCTCTCTGATATTATTGGCCGAGCAATGTTGAAAGATTATGACGTCATATTTCCGGGGCAGAACTGACCGGTTTATTTGGTCGACATATGTTGCCGCACCATGCAATGCCGTGCCAGCGGATCGATAGTACAGCAGTTAGCCGGTAATGTGTTTCGAAGAAACCATCAGCGACCCTGTATTACACAGATTTGAGGCTGACACGCTCCGAAGACTATAACAGTCACGTAGGTGTGGTCAATGGTGACGAGTGACGACTGGCGTGTTTGAGCCGGCGATGAGAACTGAGACGTTATGTATGCGTGTAGGTGTAGTGAAACAATCACTGGCTATTTAATTTTCTATACAGACACCTGGTAACATGCTAAATTAGTAAAATAATGTGACATGCGATGTGCATTGGTGTTTTAAGCTCGCTGATGCCTTTAATTTTGCTTCATCTTTCCTAGAACAAGTGTTATGTACCAAAAACTAACAGTGGTTTTCGCCGATTTTTTCTTGTTCTTTTTGTCCCATAACCCGCCTCCTTGCTATTGACACACTCATCAATTTGAAGAGAAACGAAATTTCTTATTGGTCAGTGGTCACCTACCCTGTAATTTTGGTATGTTTTAGTGGGTAAGGAGCAATTGCCAAGTATCCTACCAATCCCCCCGCACCCCCCCCCCCCCGCCCCCTGGCCGCCCGAGTTATAGAAAAGGCACTGGCTCGGGAAAAAAGTTAATCCTCACCTGCCTTGGCCTTTTCACGGCGTTCAATTTACGTAAGGGAGGCCCCCCCCCCCCCAGGAGGGAGGTCCGATGCCTCTTTTCTGGATCCGTCAGAAGATAGATTCGCCCTTCCCTCCTTACCTGTGTTTCTGTAACGTCGATCGGCGTTGGCAGTCTGCCAGGCTCGCCTCGCTGGTAGGCTGCTCCGCACGACACCGGCGTACTGCGGTGCAGTATACCTACGCAGTACGCAGGCTTTGTCGGGGCTGAACGAACGGGATAACATTTATTCCGCATGTTGGGCTACACCGGTGAGCTCTTGTCAACCTAAATATCACTGCCTATTTTGAACTGGTGATGCATTCGAACTGTTACGAGCTTTATGAATTGTGAGACATTATTCTTACATCATAGCTCGTTCCCTTACTTTTATTACCTTTGTGATGAAATCGTCTATTAGGTGTGGCACCTGGCCCTGAGATCGATCTAATTCAATTTGGGGAACCATTTTTGCACTTAATTGATTTAAGCATAAGACCACCCTACGCTAAATTCAGTGTAATGTAAATTCGACTGTCTCATTTAGGTACTGGTACAAACTTCTGTCTGAACCTAGAACTAAACTCCAGTCGCCTTTAGAAATAGCAAAACTCCAACGACACAGGGAGACTCCTCCTGTTTATTACCTCGCCAAAACAGCACCAAGGTGAACAGAAGTTAGCTACTGGTCCGAGCGCAGAGCTGAAATTGGCGGTCACGTAACGCATCGAGAGCGCTTACCGCTATCGTTTGCGTCGCTAACCATTACCAAAACCGACACTGTGCGCATCTGAACAGCATAAACATACTCTCTGCTAGGCTTTGCACGACTTTAACGATGTTTTTCGGTACTGCGATAATATGAGCCTAGGGTATTCACTATTCACATTGTGGGTAATGATTATTATCCACGCGTGGTCGGAGCCTACTGGGCCTCTTGAGGAAAGCTCGGCTTTTGTTCCCGCGGCAGTTTTTCTCGAGTGGCTGGCGTAGTCGAGTTCCCCGAATGCTGGTCCGCGTAGAGGAACACTCTGGGTTGGTGGGAGTAAGCCCGAGGCCAGCGGCCGTACAGTGCACAAAAGCGGCCAACTGAAAGATGATGCATGTTGGAGATAGACCACCAGAAGAAACGTCTAAATTTAGCAGACTTTCTCGTACGCGGTAACATATAAAACAACATCACTTGACTAATTTTCCAACGAGAAGCGCCTCTGACTATTAGCGACACGGCCGAAAACATACAAGAGCAGCACAGAAAACATACATAGAGCTGAGGCCGTCTCCATACACAAATATCTTCCGGCAGCTCTTATAACACAGTGACAACCACCCACATACCAGCTAACACGTAAGCGCTTGACCGCTCGCGGATCACGGGCCAGGTCCGTGACCGGTGACGTCACTCTGTGGCCGTGACGGTCCGTCTCGTGACGGAGACGGCTGCGCCGTCAGGTTTGGCTCCTCTGACGGAGGAGCAGCGGTGGTGCGGCATTTTACCGACACTCGCCGGCCCCGGCCATCCGAGGGGCTCTCCTCCTCTCCCTCCGCGCCCGAGTAAAAGTACAGCAAAGCCTCCGGGGTGATTAGCTTTACCGGACAAAGCTCGACAGACACCAATCACAGTCAGACATCCCGGTGAGTGTCCGGGTCAACGGGGCCACCGGAGGTAGCCAGAGGTCACCGGGGACGACCAGAGGTCACCAGGTCACCACCAGACACAGGCGAGCGACAGAGATTAGACAAAGCAACAGCACATCCCTCAAACATACCAACACGTTCCTCCGAAACATAGCACTTTCAGTCGAACAACCGCCCTCAGAATCGGGCTCATAGAACACATTCCACATTTGACATTAGACCATTGTGATACATTATAAGCTGCCTTCTTCTGTCCCACTGACAGAGTCATACAGAGAGAAAATAAACCGTAAATATGGACGTGCGGCGTCATCCGGCAATTGGCCAATCAGGGCTCTCGGTGGAGAGGCAACTCTCCGCGGGCTCAGTACCGCGCTCTGATTGGTCAAGGCCAGTGACCGGGCTGTTCCCGCGGCGCTCCGGGCGAGGCCAGTGCGCAGGCGCAAACGGGCGACACGAGTCGAGCTACAGACAGGTTGACAGGTAACAGGTAAACGAACAGGCTGTGAGCTCAGCGACGCTGTCGCCGACGCCCACAACTTGCCCGAACGGCAAGCTGAACGATACAGCGAACGATCGCGATGGTCAAATCCTCACGGATTGACCCTCAAGATGTTTGTAGTTCAAAACACGTGAAATCAGTGGGCCAACTGAGATAACCCTGTTACTCGCTGACTTCACTCGCGCAGTGGGTCCAGGGGGAAGTAACAAGAAAAAAAGGTCACGAAGACCAGACCCGAAGACCGAACACAACGACCTCAGCCCTTCTCGGGAGAGGTCAGACACCGGGCTTGTCGCGTCGCGACCTCGACCTTGAAGGTGACTCAGGCGGCGGCCGCTGTCCAGGCGCCGCCATCCGTGGTCCTTCAGATTCGAGAACTGAAGCCTGAAACGGTCACCGATAGAGGTCAAATAGTGGAAATCACCGATAAAGGTCAGCACAGTCACCGATAGAGGCCAGTACAATCACCGATGGGGGTTAGCACTTAGCACAGTCACCGATAGGGGTCAGCACTGGTGCAAACTAGACAGCTGACCACAAATCGAATGCAAATCATGCTGACGCCAGTGGTGCAGCCTTTCCAGCGATTGTCTTTCTAAATCAGTCAACGCATCGACTAGATAAATAAATATTTCATCTGTAGGTCACCATATGATATAGAGATACGACCTAAAATGCGCAATGAAAACGCTACCCGTTTACTCAGCCCTTCGAATTAACTACTTTTAGGTACTTATCTCGCTATCTTGGGAGTTATAGACAACAATAAGCCGACTAGCCATCAGAGATGCGACGTGGCCTTTCGGTACTGACATATCGTCCTCTAGGCAGTGTCATGTTATGACAAGGAAACGATTTGGAAAATAAACGATGGGCCATTCGGGCTCATTGTGGATTCACGGTGCAGGGTGGTGCGCCGATATCGGAACAAATGGCGCGTCAGGTTCGTCCATTACCGATACCTTTGGATAAACGGTGGGATATATTCGCCGGCGCGGCGAAATTTATTTTATCAGGCGCAGTCATCAATTGTCTTATCGTGTCGGGTAATGCCTGCTGCCGCTTGAAGTTTCAGAGGCATCTGCGCCAGGTTCAAACTACTGACATTTTGATGAAAGTGATATTTTAGTGAAACATGCTGGGAAACGATCCCTTATTGGTGATAGGCACACGAGTGGTCATGTTATTTGAAGCATAGGTCAAGATATGCTACTGTTTCATGTAAACACTTTTGCGGTCATTCGTGAATGCTGAAATGATATTTATCAGTAAAGCGACTAGGTAATGCTGGCGTTCGTACATGACGAATACAATTAACCAACTGTAACCAGCAACATTCACAAAATGGCGCCTAAGCACCGATATAATCTCCTTTCGCCAGTTCCTAATAGAACGTTCTCTTATACGGTAATCCCTTTTGAAAATGGAAGGAGAGACAAAAACGAGAAAATCCTTCTACTAGGAATGGGACGTTATGATTCAACTCGTATGGCCTTTCTCATCCACGTTCGACCGGAGCGACCATCCCTCCTCCCTCCTCTCTCCTCGACCCCCCCCCCCCCCGGAGCGACCCGGCTCCGTGGGCCGTTCGCGTGGTGCACTGTTATCAGTATAGCCTGTTCGGCAGCTATCGACGGCGCGCACGGGCGCTCATGGACGCCTGGGAACGGACCATGTGGGCGCCTTCGGCGGCGTTCGGCGGCGGTGGGGCTGCGTCTCCCCGTCCAGCTACAATGGACCGCAATGGGAACGCAGTCAGTAACGAACGGTTGGCTGGAACAATGAACAATAACGAACGGGTGTACGGGGGCTGTGAGAAAGGGCGGAGGGAGTAATTAGGAGCGCAGAAATGAGCAAATATTAGAGACCGGGTATATTGGAAAACTGTTGTGTTACAGACTTTGTATAAGACGATATCCTAAAAGGGAAAAAAAACACCCTTGCATTGAATATCTAGGCGTTATCAGCCGAACATCGGCCGTTTTACATATTCACGTATTATTATCATCATTATTATTTAGAAATATCGATAGATTGTCCCCCTTTTTGTTTCGTGTCGGTGTTGTTAGTCACGTATCGGATTCCCAAGTATTTTCCTCCCGTTCTCTGTCCAACACATCGGAAATCAATGATGCGTTCCGGTTCCATAGGTCTCTCTCTCTCTCTCTCTCTCTCTCTCTCTCTCTCTCTCTCTCTCTCTCTCTCTCCCTCTCTCTCTCTCTCTCTCTCTCTCTTTCTCTCTCTCTCTCTCTCTCTCTCCCTTTCTCTCTCTTTCTCACCCGTCGCATTTTGTAATGGAATTTAGCTTAGGGGTATTGAACCCTTCTTTCTGCTACGCTTTGTACGCACACTCTCAGTCTCATGATCTTCCTCATTGTACACCTTTTTGCGTTGTTCGATGGCCAATCAGCAAAACCCATTCGTCCGATCAGCACATAGGTGGCGCCAGTGAGAGGCATTCCGGCAAAACCTTCAGCATATGGGCAAAACGGAATGCTGATCCCACTCCACAGTTTGTCAGTTGGTATTACCTTCGGTATTCGCCATAACTGATTGAGTTCCGGCAAAACCTTTAACGATTTGGATAAATGCTTCGTCATTCGTTAATATCCCTTCGTCGTTCACCATAACATCCCCATGCTAATTTCGGCATTCCTCATACCTAACATTTCGTCAAAACTAAAAACAGATCGCCCCTTTACAGAGAAGTTCAAATATGACCACGTTTATACAGTGCAGTGCGAGGCATAGGTGGCGAAACTCGTAGACCATTGATCCGCATAAAAATCGGTAGCGTTCATGAGCGCCATAGGTACAATGTAGATGGACGATAGCTGACATGTTATCGGCTGATTGAAAAATGGACAGTCAACAGAGCAACAGGCTGGATAAGTTAACACCGCCTCAAACACCAAGGAACAGGCAACAGGCTGGATAAGTCAGCCCCGCCCCAAACACCAAGGTGTCCGGCCGGCAGGGCCCGGCTCGCGACCTGTCAGCCATTCCCTCGCGAGTCCGACCGGCGCGGCCGCCCGAGGCGTTGTCCCATGACATCGCACGGGCAGTGACGCGATAATGACGGCCGACTTCGTGGTTTGTATCGAAGCGCTTGGAGTCCGACGCTCAAGAATCTACATGCCTACTCGGTATGGCGCCGGCAGTCTCCTCGTAGCTATCGTATAACTGCCTTTTTCGGAATCGGGAATCCAATCGTTAATTGGTTGCAAATTGCGCTGGAACTGTCATAAGCCTCATCCCTGAATGCGTGATTAACGTTAAACATTGAATATGGCTAGATAAGCACTACATCATTGACATTTTGATCATTGACGAAAGTTTTAACCCTATTCCTGGCGGGCTCCGCCGGGACAAGAAACTGGCGGGGGGGGCCGATTCGCCCCCCCCCCCCCCTGAGATCTCGAGAACGAAGCAAGATAGCGACAAGCAGTAAACGGCATCGGATACGCACGGCCAAGATCTACAATTTTTACAAAGGTCATTTTCAGGTCAGGTCAAAGATGACGTCACAGGGGTCGAAAAAGTCAAAATGGCGGCGCTAGATATGGAGAGAGTTTTTCTCGAATAACTTTCGAATTAGTCAAGATAGGAACAAACTAAGGGCATCATCGTGATCCTCTCGTCAATCCGCATCGAATGATATATATGTTGACCTCGAAAGGTCAAGGTCAAAGGTTGACCTCAGGTCACGTGACCTCGAGGTCATCATGTATATCATTCGATGCGTCTTGACGAGCTGAACACAATGAGACCATCCACGCGTCTGTATCTTGTTCCTGTACGGAGTTATTGGCCAAAAACCTTTGGTGACCTTTGATGACGTCACATGACCTCACAGCTGCCCAACAGCAAAACAGACCTCAAGGTAGTGAAGGTTGATCGTATATGAAGTCATGTATGGTATATGGGGACATTCCGACCCGTTTTAGTGGTAAAAACAGGGAGTTGATTTTTCCCCCATTGACTTATAATGGAGAGGTCGCGAAATTGACCTGACCTTAGGTCACCGATATCAAAATTCCGAGATATACAAATTGCACATACTGGTACCCTAACTAAACCCTGAAGAGAAGAAATTGATCGGTCAAAAACTCTAGCTCTGGCGTGATTGCAAACTTTTCTAAGGTAGGGTCACCAAACCGCCTCTGGTGACCTGACCTGAGGTCAGATCAACTCAAAATTTTCAGACATGTTGCGTAGAAGCCTTTTAGGAAAAGTCAGAAAATTTGAGCTTCCTAGCTCAACGCGTTTGGGAGAAATAACCAAAAAACCTCAGGGGGGGGGCTCCTGAGGCCCCCCCGCCAGGAATAGGGTTAAATCAACAGTCATTGTTTACGCACAGTACCGATGAATTTTGCACATCGACTAACCATTTTGTGAAATGTCGAAGCATTATGACAATCTGACAAAGTGTTTTGCCTATGACGAACATTGTGCTCAATGACAAAGAGTTATGCAGAATGGTGCCTGTAAAAAACGACCGTCAAACAGTGATGCACATCGCCGATGGGTTATTCTGAATGACGCTTGTCCAAACTGATGCCGAAATGGTTATGACGATTGGCCATCGAACAACGCAAAAAGGTGTAGTAGATCCCTTAGTCCTTCCCCTCCTTCTCTGATTCATTGTATCTCATCCATGTCCCTCCCCAATACATTTTATCCCTTCCCGTGTCTCCCCGATGTTGCTTGTCCTCTCTCCCGTATGTACAATAAGTACCATTTCCGTCCCTCTCGTCGAAGCATCGGGTCGCCTCCCCTCTTCTCCCCCTCCTAGGTAATGCCCCCTCCCCCCCAACGTCAGTGTATTGAGTACCTACGCCCCAGGGACAACGGGCAACGGTAGCTAATGAACCACAAGTTTCCGATCCAACTCGTTCACTAGCAGTACCTCATTGTTTTCGCTGTCAAATGACCCAGTCGTGTTCAGCTGGTTTTTTTCTCAGGGTGGAGAATTACAGGTGCGGTAATCGTTGTAAAGGAGGAGCACATAGAATACAAATCGACCAGCGAGCCATAATGAAAATTGCACGTGTTGGCCGCGCAGGCCTAAGTGATGATGCTCTTTTGTTGTTGTACGTTTGCAGCGCTGCCGCCATAAAACGCTTGGTTATAGCGTTCACTGGGCACGTTCCCATTGTAATCAAGCCAAACATCGTGTGCTTTTGCTATGTAGGACCATTCACTCGGCCGAAAACAGCATTATTTATCCAACTGACCAGTATGAAAAGGCATCACGTACCTACTGAATGAATTTGAAAATAGGAAAACATCATAAGTTATGAGGCTTGTGAGATGCATTTTATGAAATTAGCCCCTTTACGCCAATGACGATCATTAGTTCGCAACCACCATTAAATGTTGAA